ATTGGAGAAGAAAAGGGACTGGTGCTTCTTCTTATAACCCCTCTTTGGAGCATCTCTTGAACTAATTGCTCCATGACTTGTTTCTGTATATTAGGTTATCTATAAGGTCGAACATTGATAGGCTCAATACCCCATTTCAAAGGAATACTATGGTCTTGAACTCTGTGAGGTGGCAATTCTTTAGGTTCCTCAAAAACATCGAAATAGACTTCCAACAACTATCTTAAATGTGGATCATCATTTGTTTTAGCTCTAGATAACTGAACTCCACATGCTCCCTTATTCATACTTTGAACCATAAAAAGCTTTACCTTGTTGGAGTCTGTTGCCTTCTGAATAGTCTCCAACATCTTGTCATTATCCACCCACTTGATATGGGGTTTAGGGGCAGCATGTAGCACCATAGGTTTCTCCTTGTACGTGAAACCAAGGGTCTTGCTCTGAAAATCCCATAGAACCTTTCCCAAGGGTTTTAACCATTGGATTCCAAGAATTACATCGTACTCACCCAATGGCAACAAGAGCATCTCCGATTGAAATTCCAACCCTTGCATTTTCCAAGTGAAGTTAACCCCTCTCCTTGAACTAGATAATTGACTGCCATTAGCCATTGAAACTTGGAACTGTTTTACATCCTCTAACGTACACCCCAATTCTTGTGCAAATTTGGAGTCTAAGAAATTGTGTGTACTCCCAAAGTCTATCAAAATCATTAGTGACCTTTTGCCCACTATTCTAACCACCTTAAGCATCCAATAGGCCAACTCACCCGTCAAAGCATGCAGAGATAATTGTGGCATGTCTTGTTGCCATATATGCAACTATTGTACCTCTAATCTCTCACTCTAGTTATCTTGTACCTCAGCAATATCCATCTCTTCTTCCTCAAAAAGTATTACCTCAATGTTGAACAGCTTCTTTTTGGGGCACTTGTGACCTAGCACAAATTGCTTATCACACCAGAAGCATAAGCCTTTGGCTTTGTTCTCTTCTAGTTGTTTCTTCGACAATGCCTTAATACTCTTATTCCTAGAGGGCTGTGGGGTGATAGATGATAGAAGGGCATTGTTTTTTTTATTAAAAGGTGGAATTCTAGGGAAACGTAGGCTTGTATTAGAAAAGGGAGCTGGTGCTACACTCCTTGATTGTGACCAATTGGCAGGCTTGAACTTCTTTACCATAGAAGTGAAATGGCTTCATAGTTGGCCTCATGCAACTAGGCAATACAATAAGCTTCAATTAGGTTTTTAGGATCAAAACAATTCACATCATGTCTGATTTCCTCCTTCCAACCTCCAATGAACATCTCAACAACAACCTCTTCAGAGCAAGCGACCTTAGCCTTTATTTTTACAATGTCCTGTTGATACTCTAAGACAGTACCCATTTGCACTACATTCCTCCATTTTGCCACAAGCTTCATCTTAGAAGCTACCCCAAATCTAACACAAACAACCGTGCAAAATTCCTCCCAAGCAGGCCACTCAATTTTCCCTTTCATGTAGGCTTGCAACCATTGCAAGGCCTCTCCCTTCATATACATTCCAGCAATTTGAGACTTAAACCCTTTCCCAGTCTTGTTAATTTCAAAGAATTGTTCACTTTAAAGAATTATTCACTTTGGCAAAGCTATCCTTTCACACTACCAGTGCCATCAAAAATAGGGATATCAATCTTCCCAAATCGAATCATATATATACAACGGAAAAAATGCGGAACCAGGATTCCTCCCTGATTTGCCCTTCTTTTTTTTTTTTTGGTATATTAAATGATTAATAAAAAAATAACCCTCATCAAATGATGAACTTCTTAATTAATTCCGATTGACAAATGCACTAGTCAAGGGCACGATATGATATAACCCAATCAACAATCCACAAAGAATCAAGAGATAGAGATGAGAAAAGAATCAAGAAGAGAGGTGAGATGGGAAACAAAGTTTTAGAAGGGATGAGAAGAGAAGAGAGAAACTGAAGATAGGAAAACTGTATTGACTTTCGATAACTAATTCTATTACAAGAAAGAGCTTTTATAGCTGTTCTTTGTACATAGCATCCTCATCTACATACGTTCATCACAGTTGTCCACCTAAGCACTCCTCTGCCACGTCACTTGTCTTATTTCTAGTCCTGTAACAATCCCCTCCCTTAAACAGCCCTTGTCCTCAAGGGTGGAAGGAAGGAAAACGCAACTGAATATCATCAATAGATTCCCAAGAAGCCTCTTCAATACCACGACCCTTCCACTTGATTAACCACATGGTCTGAGGCTTGTTGTTATTAGCCTTAATGGTTCGATCAAGAACAACCTCTGGTTCATATACTGGCAGAGCATCTGGTAACAAAGAGGCAAGAGGAATAACTATTGTAGCCTGACTCACTTTCTTCTTGAGTAAAGAGACATGAAACACATTATGCACCCTAACACCATCAAGCAATTAGAGGTTATAAGCGATAGGTCCCACACAAGCTAGGACTAAAAAAGGCTCACAATACCGAGGGGACAACTTGTGTTGTCTTTGTTGTAGAAGAGACAACTGTCAGAATGACTGAAGCTTTAAGTATGCCTAATCCCCAAGCTGAAATTCCTTTTCAGTATGGTGTTTATCTGCCAATTGCTTCATCCAATTTTGAGCTCTATGTAGTTGCTGTTTAGCTAGAGTTAGAACCGCCTCTCGAGCTTGAAGACTCCTGTCCACTCTAACTATTCTTGAGTCACCTGGGATATATGGAATGTGAAGAGGATGCCTAGCCATATAATACCTCAAATGGTGTTGCCCTGAAAGTAGTGTGGAAATTGGTGTTACACTGTTCGGTTATTTCTCAAAGAAATGGAGAGAGACGTTGAAGAGCTAAAATCAAGTTTCCATTTCAATTTTCCAGCATTTGTACACAGAGAGTTTAAATTTTGAAATTCAAAAAATACAAGCTAAGGAGCTCTTTTACAACAATATTTTATGATCAAAATAATACACATCATCACATGGCTCCAACTAGAAATATGACTAGAAAAGGACACAAAACAGTTTGGTTAGTTTTATTTTAACCAAACTGAACTTGGTTGGCTTGATGGCACTAATATACTGCTATTGCCACCTAAGCTACTTCACGTAACTTCCATCACTCCTCCTTGACATCAAGGCTGCACATTCCAACTTGTTCTCTTAGTAGCTCGAACCTGGATTTTTACAACCCCTTTGTAAAAATGTCAACTATCTGCTTCTCTGAACTGTAGTGAATTAATTGAATTTCATTATCATGTTCAGCTTCTCTAATGGAGTGATACTTCACCTTCATATGTCTGGTTCTTTGGTGAAATACAGGATTTTTCACAATGGCAATTGTGGATTTGTTATTACAAAGGATCACAGTGGGTTCCTTTTGAGCATGCTTCAAGTCAGGCATCACTTGTCTCATCCAAATTGCCTGATTTGCTGCATCAGTAGCAGCAATATACTCAGATTCAGTAGTTGACTGTGCTACTGCATCTTGTTTTCTTGAGCACCAACTGATCATTCCTGAACCGATGTAAAAACAACAACCCAAGGTGCTTTTCATGTCATCTTCAGACCTTGCCCAGTCACTATTAGTAAAACCAAGTAACTTTATCTCGTCTGATCTTGAATACATCACCCTGAAGTCGATAGTTCCTTTCACATATTTAAGAACATGTTTGGCTCCTTTCAAGTGCATTTCACTTGGTGACTGCATGAACCTTGAGAGAACACTAACAGAATACATGATATCTGGTCTAGTTGCTGACAACTATAACAAGCTCCCAATCATGCTTCTGTACAAACCCGATTCAATCTTTACGGCTCCATCTTCACTTGTGAACTTTGTTCCTGGAACTATTGGTGTGCTGACAGCTTTACAGTTTGACATTGTAAACTTGTTCAAGATTTGCGTGGCATATTTTCTTTGATAGATAAATACACCTTGGCTAGATTGTTGCACCTCTATTCCTAGGAAATATGACATTTTTCCCAAGTCATTCATCTCAAACATCTTCATCATATCAGCTTAAAAATTTCTCACCATAGCTTCACAACTGCCAGTGACCAACAAATCATCAACATAAATAGAAACAATGATCAAATCTGCTCCCTTCTCTTTTACATAAAGTGTTGCCTTTTCAATGCTTTTCTCAAACCCCAAGCTGAGCAAATGGTTATCTATTTTGCCATACCATGCTCTCGGGGCCTGCCTCAGGCCATATAAAGCCTTTTTTAGCAAATAAACTTTATGTTTAGCTCCTTTTTTCACATACCCATCAGGTTGCTCAACATATATCTCCTCTTTCAACTTTCCATTTAGGAAAGTTGACTTCATATCCAGTTGGTAAATAAGCCAACTTTTCTGAGTAGCCATTGCAAACAACAATCTGATTGTATCAAATTTGGCAACAGGAGCAAATGTTTCTGTAAAGTGAATACCAGCAAGTTGTGAGTATCCCTTGACTACCAATCTTGCCTTGCACTTATTCAAGGAGCCATCTGAGTTTAACTTCACTTTATACACCCATTTGACCCCTATAACATTCTTATTGGTAGGTCTATCAACCAACTTCCATATTGCATTTTTCTCAAACATGTTCAACTCTTCCTGCATTGTAGTCTTCCATTATTCTGAATTCATTGCGTCTTGTAAACATGAGGGTTCTGTAATGGCCACATTGCATCTGTTATAAACATCTTCAGGTGTTCTAGTACCCCTGATAGGCACATCATCAATTTGATCATTTTCCTCATCATATTCAAACTCAACAAGCTCTGGTGCTTCATCACGAATCTGCTCTTGCAATTGACTTGCTGCAATAACCTGAGAATTTTTCTAATCC